AAGAATGCCTTTTTCTTTCAGAGTCGAAATAAGGCATTCTTGGGGGGCAATTTGTTGGCTCTTAAATTCGACACCCTTGTTTCATTAATATCAACCATTAAAGCTGAAGGATGTTTTCGATCAGCTGGGTCTGTCGAAATGCCCATCGAAAGATGACACTGTACTTAGAAGATTTCTTCCAAGGGAGAAGTTGGGTGCCTTCGATGTCGAAGGTGTTTTTTCGTCGAAGATGCTTCTCGACGAAGGTGTTCGATGGTTCAGAGTGGAACGGTTTGAAATTCAAGCATTTGGAGGGAAAACGGTTTCCAGCGGTTACCAAGGGCAACATGCAAAGATCTGGAGCGTCGAACGTTGAGAACGTGCCAAGTGGAATCATCTCGAAGCAGTGTAACTGCCCGACGGTTACTTGGGATGTTTTAGTATAAATAGTAGTAGTTCACGCAGTTTCTCGCGTGTGTTCACAATTATATACAAAGTCACTCATATAGATTCAAGTACCCAGCGTGTGAGAAAGAATTGTTGAGAATGTATGTGTGAAACACCAACTTTATTAATCAAAGTCATTTACTTTTTCCAGAAACTTTACTTACTTTCTTCTTTACTTTCCTTGTCGAAGTACTTTACTTCAAGCCTTCATTTATTTTACCAAGCCTATTTCTTCATGCAATTTACTTAAAGCCTCTTTATTTTATTGTCATTTAACCATTATCCAATTTAATCAAAACCTCAAAATCAACCTATGTCTTAGGATCAATCTGATCGATCCTGCGAGTAACCAAATAAGTAACCATTTGGAGGATCAGCGGTTGTTTACCAATAACCACGGTAAACAGCTGTGTCAGAGGTGGGGCAGGATCGAAATGGTCTGAAGTTACTCTTCACATAATCTAGCACAAAAGGGTCCTTTGGGGGAATGATTGGAGTTTCCACGGTGGTCGAATCAGAAGACTCCCCTGTCTTAGGGGTATCCATTTTATTAAACAAAGGTTTAAAATTATAACAAACAGGGAAAATTTTTCTGGTATCTTTTAAGATTTCAAAGACTGTAAGAGGACCCATTAAAGCTAACCTCTTGCCAGCGGCGTTAGTGGGAATTAGTACCTGAGATGCGTAGAGCATTTCCTTCTCTTTGGAGATCATTTGGGGAATAAGCACAGACTGACCTTGATAGGTGCCAACCTTGATTTCCATTATGGTTCATGTGTTCTTTCCTTTCTTTTTGGAAGCTTTTTTCAGTTGGGATGATGTTGAAGAAGACATTGTTGAAGAGTGTTGGAGGTTTTAGGGTTTCAGTGAAAAGAGAGGAAGAAAAGATTCAGAATATGGGAAGAAAAAATAAAAGACTAAGTTGATGGGTTTTTTATAGTGTGGAAGTTTAAACATCCACTAAGTAAGATTGGGATACATGGGAGTCGTGGGTTGGATTGAGAAGGAGGTGGCGTAAAAGTTAATATTGGTAATAGGCGTGATTAAATAATAATCATTGTTTTGTAACTGCACCATGTTGTGAAATGGTTCAAGGCGGTTAAGGAATTTGAAAAGCGTCATGATTGACGCGACTGGAGTCATATGCAATAAATGTTACGATTATTCAAAGGTCGCGTCAAAATCTTGCATATATGTTTAAAATAAGTATTTCTCAAAGGAATCGAAATACATATTTTAAAGGGGCATTTTGTTGGCTGAAGATTTTGATGATATTGTTCGAAGCGAAGCAAGTTGGATACTTCGATTGGAATAAAGCAAGATGTCATGTTTCGAAATGGTAGAAGCAGTGCTTCGAATGGGCATGTCAAAACTCTGAGCTTCGAGTGACAGTTATGGGGATATATTCAAAGAAGTCTCGAAACGGTAACAAGGCTGTGTCCAAGAAATGAGTTCGAAACGAAGAGTGCCAAAACATTTGAAATTCAAACACAAGCGGGATGTTCGAAATTTAAAATATATGCACTGGAGCATTCGAAGACGCGTGGAAGCTAGAGAGGGGCATTGCTTTGCATGTTCTGAACGTGGCAGAATCTTATAGCAAGACCGTTATGGTCGAAGTAGTATAAATAGAAGTCTTAGCGTTAGGATTTTGTGTGTCATATCTATTGTACAAAAATTCAGTAAACATTCAAAATACCACATGGCTAGGGAAACGAATGCTCGAACAATGTACGTATGATAACACCAAGTGTTTATGATTCAATAAAGCTCTTTATCATTTCCAGTTTTTTCCTCTATCTTCATGTCAATATCATTCAAAAGCCTTTACATTAAAGTATTTTTATTCGAAGTCTTTTTACTGATGTCTTGCATTTAAATGTTTTCTTTCCATTTCAAATCCTTTACATTTCAGAAATAACTTTTGTATATTTCATGCCTTTATCTTCATGCCTTTATCATTCGAACACCTTTTTCATTTAAAGTCATTTTACTGATTTCTTGCATTTAAACGCTTTCTTTATATTTCGAGTCTTTTACTTTCCAGAGAATCTTTTACATTACATGCTTTTATACTTCGAAGTTATTTACTTGTATTTGTGCAGTTTTACATGTCTTTACAATTGAACCTTTATTCATGCAATTTAGTTTCACACACATTTACTTGATCATGTCATTAGATCTTTAATAGAGTAATCAGAGTAAGTTAAACACCTACACAACATTCTAAATACCAATCATGAACATCAGTTCTATAATGAGAATTATCCAAATGACCAATACTCCATAGGATCAATCTAGTCGATCCTGCAAGTTACCAAAGAGATTAAATAACAGTCATTAAGATTATTTGATAGTTTGGAGGACTAGCGGTTGTTTACCAGAAATCACTGTAAACACCTAGACACTAATTCCACCAGGTGTGCCAATTTGTTTAGCGTGAAATTTAGTAAACAACCGTTGGTCTTCTAAATCAAAGAAAAGATTGGTAACTTATAGGATCGACCAGATTGATCCTAAGGATATGTGTTTAGTTCAATTTTGTTTCTTTCTGTTTATTAATCTCTTCGATAGAGATTGTTACTTCGAAGGTAGTGATGTAACGCTTTAAAGAAAAGACTGGTATGTAAAATACTATTGATATAAACTTAAAATGAACATTTAAAACTTCAATTGAAAAAGAATGACAATAAACATAAAACTGGTTCATCATACGTACATTCTCACAACTCGTTTCTCGAACACTGGTACTTTGAGCAATTTAGAGTAATTTGTACAAATATGTAAACACATGAATCCTATTACTAAGAATCTTATTTATACTATTTCGACCCTAACGGTCAACTACTAAAACAACGCCGCGTTCGTTGGTGCATGTTCTTCGAATCTCTTCAGGCCTTCCCGCATCTCTTTGGATAAGATAAAACTTTCAAATTTGAAAACTCTTTTTTCTTCAAAGCGCCAAACATTATTGACGTGACAGTCGAAGTGTTTATTCTTACAATACTTTGAATAAATCAAGTTTCAATGGTTCACAAATAAATCTTTCGCCAATACTTGGCGAAATTAAATTTTTACTAGCATTTATTTATCGAAATCTTCATAAGATCTCCTTCATGCTTCCTTCAAAACTAAATTTCTTCCAGGATGTATGATTTCAGCTCAACATTCACATAGTCAAAATTCCGAGTTAATAAATTGCCCCTAATAAATGTGTATTTCAATATATTTGGAGAAATATACATTTTTGTAAGGCATCTATATTTCGACAAACAAACATCCTTCATGATGAACATTTACTGTTGTGACGTCAGAAACAATCATGATTTCCTTTTTCCAAAATGTCTAATCAAGACGTGCGTGATACAGTTTCATCATTGCCACGAAAAGTAGGTTCCCAATGTGGCCTTTCAATAAGTAAACTTCTCCATAAACTTAAAGAGAAAATCTTCGAAGCTGGCCTATTCGGAGTTCTGAATAATAATGCCACTGCGAGGGATGTCCTCGGAGGACACATGGAGGATAAGTCCTCGGCGTGAGAGGAGGAGATCCTGCCCGACATAGATCAATGATAGACTCATTCTTGTTGGGCTTCCCCTACAACATAGTTGGATTGAGCCTTATATATTGTTTGGGTTGAGTGTAAGTCCAGTCCAGAACACTGATCATTACATGTATAAATTTCCTCACCTTCATATCTTAACTTAACTTAGAGTCTTTTACAATACAACTCTTTGTATATAAAACCACACCTTAAATTAACAAGTTTCATATATATAACACAACGAGTAAGGAACAAATTTAGCAGACACAACAATACTGTATAACATACAGTCAACATTATACAATACAAAACTAAATTTGAATCAAATACATTCAATAAACTACAATAATATATTCTTTTCTATCGAAAAAATTATACGTATACACATTAAGAGTACAAGAAGCCTTAAACTATGATTCAAAAGTCCATTGGGTGTAGTCGGGCTCCCTCAAAAGGGTGGATTTCTTCTTGCCAACTTTTCTAGGAAACGATCACGGTTATAGAGAATCTATGTATCAGGCAGTTTATTTTAGATCATGCATGTCTTTCTTGTGAATTGTGTATTAGGTCTTTATAGCCAGTATCTCATTTATTTGTCACTTGTAATTTGTCTACAAACCTATGGTATTGATGTAGGATTTTTCGGGAGCTGGGGAGGATAGTTATCATCCAACCACTGCATAAGATCCATATTCGTTTTTTCACATGTCGTGATGGTGGTGTCATATTTCTCCAAATTGAATCCTCTGCCGTGGCTGAATGATGCTGCCGAAATCTCAACCACTTATTTTATAAAATATAGAGAATTACCATTATTATTTAATGCATGAAGGGTTAAGTTTGGTGCAGAATGCAAAGCATGATAGAGAGCGAGAGGATCTATATCCATATTTCTCACATTCAACAAAATTGAAGCACACATTTATATTTCATCATTTTCAACAAGATATAACATTTTATTTCCGGATAAAAAGAAAGTGTAACCTAGGTTTGTAAAGCAATGGTCTTAAAAAAAAATCAAATTTTCCCTTCAATGGCTAAAGTAATTCCGACCGGAGAAGAGACGACGCGGGGAAAACATCCCCGTGTGGCGAGAAGTAGCAACACTATCGATAGATCTATCATCATCTGAGACGATGAAAGCTTCACGTTCTTCACGAGGTGCATTTCTGACATTGAAGGTTCCATACTTAACCAAACGTCCAACCCACGACTTCTTCTTAGTTGGACTCTTAGTCGGACTCTGATTAGCAGCGTTCATCTTGTTTCCGAGATACTCCTTCACTGCATGCAGTCCTAGCTCCATAACTTCCGGTGGTGGTGAAGTAAGAGGGTTCCCTTCCACACATAGTTTTTGAAGCTTAGTGAGACCACCAATGGAGTCTGGTAAGGATTTGATCTTGTTGTAGCTGATGTCGAGTTCAACGAGGGACAACAGAAGTCCTATGGAGTAGGGGATGGTATCCAAGAAATGAAAATTCTGACTCACGTTTAGGGTTTCAAGGTTGATGAGATTCTCGAGATCTTCCGGGAGAGATCTGAGACAGTTGAGACGTGCGTCGAGATTCTTGAGAGATATGAGATAAGAAATGGAGCGTGGAAGGGAGAGAAGTTTGTTGGAGTTGATTGATAGTTTCTTGAGGTTTATTAGCCCAAACCCTAGGTTTTCTGGTAACTGAATCAACTTGTTGAAGTTTAAATTCAAATCTTCTAAGGCTCTGCAATTCTCTAGTGTTTTCGGGAGGTATTGGATGAGGTTGCCAGAGACATTCAGAATCTTGAGCTTTGAGAGGCACCCAATGGAGTTTGGGAGGGTTCTCAGCTGGTTTGAGTGCACGTCCAACACCACCGTGTTCACCAATTTCGCCGTCAATGATTCCGGAATATTCTGTCATGATCATAAATTAGTTATTACTCTAAAATAACTTAAGCTGAGATTTAACACAAACATCAAAGATAACATAATATTGAAAGTAAAAAATACCTGAAGATTGTTGTTGGATAGGTCTAACTTGCAAATGGAAGCTAACTCGAGAGAAGGGTTAGGAAGAGAGTCTAATGACAAGCCACTCAAGTTAACTATTTCAAGTCTCTCAGTTTCCTCTATCGAATTCGAATCATTACTATACGTTGTTCTCTTCACCGATTGCTGTTCGTACATCATCTTTACACAACGTTGCTAGGTAATACTAACAACTATATTATGATGATGATGGTGTTTAAGGTTCATGTAATAAGAGAGATTGTTGATGAAGGATGAGTGTGAGATGAGAGAAAAGAGAGAGAGTTTGTTTGGTTTTTAAGGCAAAGTGAAGATCCGAGTGTATGGATGACAAGTAACGGCGAAGTGGGAGGGCCACTTGTTGTTCTTGTTGTGTTGTGTTGTGTGTATGACGTGTCATCGAGTTACTTAGTACAACTACCGTATATTTTGGCTTTGTTTGGTCATGTTCCCCTCTCCACTTGATACTTGGATTAATTCAACACTCTCTTTCTTTTCTATTCATACTAACAATAATGATTTTTTCTTAAATAATCACTTTCTTCTAAAAAAAAATAAATTCTAATAATCAATATTTCAAATAAAATATTAAATTAATTATTTTCAAATAAAAAAATTTATAAGTGAGATCATACGTTAGTGCACTTAAAAATAAATATACATGTTAGTGTCTTGGGTGTATGCATTGGTGTCGAGTCAGAAGGAATGACACATGCTTTATAATTAAAGAGGAGGCGTTAGTTGCAATAGTGTCTATGTTGTAATTTTTTTATAAATGGCTCATGTATTCTTCATCATTTATCATATATCTTCTGACTTCATTTTTAAATATTTCTTCAACAATATCTTATATTATCAAAAGAAATGTTCAACTTTTTTATTCGTTAACAAAGTTTTCGATGAAGATTCGACTGAGAATTTCAAGCATCTTCGGAGGAGTTTGATCGGTTGGCTAGATGAAGGCATAAACATTAAAAGAATTTATAGATTTATTAAGATGTTCAACCAAAATGAAAAAATCTATATGTGGTAGCCAATTAAAATTGACTATGATTTTCGTATTTTGATTGTCGTATTTGAGATCATTAAAACCAATGAGAATTATGATCAAGCAAGTCATTAAAATTCTCTTCCATTATTTTTGTAATTCTATCTTATAAAATAATATTATAATTGAATTTTTTCTATATAATATATTTTTTTAAATAACTAAAAAATAAAATAATCAAATACAACATAAGAGCCATGACGGATGACGCATACTCCTATTGCTTACATGTATATGCGCCATTATCATTGACATGATATTAAAGCATGTTCCATAGACAATGGTGCCTAGAGCCAAATTGAATTGCATGTGATATAAACAGTGACACATCTTCTATGTAACCGAATTTTTTTATTAAAAAAATTGTTACTTTGATAATCAATATTTTTTTAATATGATTATTTAAAAAAAATTTACAATAATATATCCTACTTTTTAAATTAATTTTTAAATATTTTGCTTTTATTTTAAGTTAAGGATATATTTTTAAGAATATATACTCTTTTTATTTTTTAGTTATAATAAATATAGATGAGTTTAATTCTTAGTTAACCGAGTTATGATAGATTTTAAGGTTTAAAAAATATTTATATTATATATATATATATATATATATATATATATATATATATATATATATATATATATATATATATATATATATATATATATATATATATATATATATATATATATATATATATATATATATATATATATATATATATATATATATATATATATATATATATATATATATATATATATATATATATATATATATATATATATATATATATATATATGAAATTATAAAATTATTTAGTAATCTCAATAATTATTATAGTTTATATTTGTTAAATGTATGATGTGTGACAATCTCTTATGGTAGTAAGGTTGTCAGAGGATTGTAGAATTGTTGTTGTGTTAGTGATAATACCAAAAATATCGTATATTTGATTTGATTTACATATGTTTTATTGTTGTTTTATCTTCATTTTCAATATTATGTTGGTATTCTGTTTGTATTTAAGGTATTTAACCAAATGGGAGTTGTACACTCAAGGCGATCACAATGACCATGAGTGGTCCACACGCTAACAGTCACAAAGACCAAGTCATAGCCACTTTGTGAGCATGGCGTTCGCCATGGGGGTGTGGCGGTCCACACCTTGTAAAAACTCAACAGTTACATTTTGGGCTTGGTTCGGTCTCTCACTCTTCCCATTCTCTCCTAAAATCTCTCCCACGAATTGAGCAACTTCCCACTTGATATTTTAGGTTTTGGAAATCTAAAAATAGGTGTTTAGCTTCACTTTTTGGATTATTCAAGTTTAGTACAAACTTAAGCCATATATTGTTGCATTTTATAAGCTTTAACTCTTCACATCGGAGGGTTATAACATTGTCGATTGAGTCTGTATCAAGTTTAGAGCAACCACTCTGTAAAAGTTTAATCTTGCTGCCATTTTATTTCCCGCATTCAAGTCTTTTTGTTGATTTACTTCCTGTACCAGATTAAAGTCTCTTCAGAGCAGGTTTTTATTAATCACGTTACTTTTATTTTATCATCTCTTTATTTATCTGCACTTAATTCGCTTTAAATTAATTTCTATCAATTGCATGTTTCCAACTTTACTTTCTATGTCTATTATGTTTTATTCCATGACCGAATCAATTGTTTTGCTGTATGTTATAATCATGTCTAACTAAATTATAAGTGTTGGAATGTGAGAACCGTTGATTTGACGGTACTCTAAGTTGTTGTTCTTTGTGAAATATTTGTGGAACTGTTTTGATTTTATAACAACTTTTCTAATCTTATTTTGTTATTTTGCTACGAAAGTAGGGCCATTTATATGTCGGGTAAGATCGAAAGTCGTCCAGTACAAAAGATTAATGTTTTTTAGTTTTCAATTGATAAATATCGTATAAGCTCTTTGTTGATTAATTAGGAAAGCTAGTAGTTTTTAGAAAGTGTTTTTAAACCCATTTTCGGACGCGTTTATGTGTTTAAGATACGGTTGGCCGAGCGAACACCAAGAACCCTTTAAAGTCTAATCTTCCAGTCAAAATTATTTTTCATCTAGGTAAATGAAACTTATTTCTAAAAAAGGTATTTACTTCTTTAAAGCGAAATGCTATGGGCACGCGACAATAAACGATATAAATTAGAGAGTAAAATCTGGTTTTGATTACGCGACAACAACTGTTCCTTTTTAAATAGTTCTTTTTGAAAGAGGAAAACATTGTCCCACAGGTAGTTCAATTTATGAACAATTAGAGTATCAACGAATTGATGAGATTCATATTCCAACTTTGTATTTCTGAATTAATTATTCTACTTTATTTTTTGTATCTCCAATGATTATTTTAATCGCCTTAGATAAACACCGTAACAATAGAAAATGATAGCTTGACTATTAGGTCTCTGTGGGTTTGACACTCTTTGTATTACTCTGATACTTTTTGTGCACTTGTGAAATACCCCCATCAAGTTTTTGGCGCCGCTGCCGGGGACCAATTACGTCAAATATCGCAACTCCATTGTTACACTGTCTATACTTAGGCACTCTATTTTTGGTAAATGCGAAGAACTGGTAGTATCGGAATTTTAGAAGATTCAATAGATGAGAGAGAAAGATACGCTTGTGCGAGACTTTTTCTCCGATGAATCCAAAAAGTGATGGCAGACGAACAAGACCATAAGCCACTTAAGGATTTTGCCTTACCTTATAACGAAGAACCTCATTCAAGTATCCTTAACCCTATGAATCAGATAACGATTTTGAATTGAAACCCGCTTTATTGTAAACCGTGCAACAAAACTAATTTGTTGGTCTCCCAACTGAGAAACCTAACCAACAGTTGACAGTGTTTATTTAACTAGCCGGTACATTGTAAAGCAATGGTGCTCCTCCTCAGGCTATTTGTTTGCGTTTATTCCCTTTTTCCCTCAGAGACATAACAAGAGCATGGCTAGACTCTCTCCGAGCAGATTTTGTCACCACTTTGAATGACCCGAAGAAAGTATTCCTTGCTAGATACTTTCCACCAAGTAAGATCGTTGTCTTGGGAAACCAAATAACCTAATTTACTCAACAATATGGTGAATCTCTTTTTTATGCTTGGAAAAGATACAAAGAGATATTAAAGGCTTATCCACATCACGGATTAGAACAATGGTTGATCATTCATACCTTCTATAATGGACTTCTCTATAATCTAAACATACCATCGATGCTACCGTTGGTGGTGCACTGATGAACAAACCTTACCCTGAAGCCCGTGCGCTCATAGAAGACCTGCCACAAAACCATATGAACGCCAATATGGACTCTTTAGAACAAAAGGTCAAAAACTTAGTCGTTAACCCTATAGCTACCGTAGCTACAATCCAACCTAGATGCAAAATATGTGAAACCTCAAGGCACATCACTGCTAAATGCGACCTCCTAGCTGAACCCAACTAAGATCAGGTAAATTATTCCCAAGCAAACCCTTATTCAAACACTTATAACTATGGATGGAAGAATCATCCAAATTTCTCTTAAACAATAACCCTACCCAGAACACAGCACCTCAGAGATCACAAGGTTTCCAAGCTCAAATACCTACACAGCCTATGCAAGCTACCCCTCAGAAATCAAACCTAGAGAAAATTATGGAAAACTTCATTTCAACTCAAACTCAGCAAAACAAAGAATTTATGAATCAAAACATTCATATAAATGAGTTGATTACGCAATTAGGCGACAAAGTCAATTTTGTGGTAACCCACAACAAGATGCTTGAAACCCAAGTCTCTCAAGTAGCACAACAAAAAGATGCTCAAGCTACGCCAGGAGGATCATTCCCTGGACAACCTCAACCTAACCCTAAACGCCATGCTAACTCTATTTCCCTATGAAGTAGCACTGCATATGATGGGTCTATAAACCCTAGGTTGAATGAGAATCTAACAAGGAAACCCGGGCCACCAAAAGAAAATGTTATGAGTACATCAGAAAAACCAGCGGTATAGGAACCAGTTGAACCAGAAAAACAAAGAGAGAAATAAGTTAAAGATAAAGAAATCGAGAAGGATAACTAAACATATGTACCACCTCCTCCT